GACACCAGCAAGTGCACAGGTACACACACACTGTCTGTACAGACACCAATTTTAAAGGGGTGTTGGTGTGGAAAGAGATGGCTCAGTGGGTAAAGTCATTTGCTGCCAAGCCTGATGACGACGAGTTCAATCCCCAGGACCCACAAATGGTAGAAGAAACAACCCCAAAAGTCGTCCCCTGACCTCCACACATGTACTGTAATGGGCACCATCTCCCTCCCCTCACCAAAGACATGTAAGAAATACGCAGTAAATAAATAGATAGACAGACAGACAGACAGACAGACAGACAGACAGATAACGGAGTGTCAAACTTGGTTTTACAACACAGATTTCAGAACTGCTGAGCCAGGCACACTGGCTCACGCCTGTAATCCCAACTCTTGGAAAGTGGAGAGGGGACTTTCAAAAAATCAAAGATGAAAAACAAATTAAAATGTGTACTTACAAGTGGTTAAATATTCCCAGAATGACACCAAAAGTCATATGAATAATTCCTAAAATCACAGACATTTTCATCTTGAAGGAATTGAGGAAAGTGAGGCGATTTGTGGCCAGGTTCCAAATCTACGGACCAGACCAAACAGAGGCAATGTTAAGTCCCATCAGCAGGTGCTGGAGGGCTCCTAAGTCAGAGGGTTGCTCTGAGTTCACAGAGGAAATACCACCTTCCCGTGGTGCTCTCAACTGACTTCCCCAGGCCAGGGCTCCAGTGTCAAAACCAGGCAGGAGACCCCCTCCTGAGCCAGGGCTGCAGTCTATCGCGATCTAGCTGCACAGTGGAGCAGCTCACGTGCTGTGAATGCTATTCACGTTCTGGATCATGTCCAGACTGCAGACGTGGCCTACGTATACAAACGACACCCCTGGTCAGGACTCAAAACACTTGAAGCTGCGGACCTGAGACCTGCCATGTCCTGGGCATCCCCTGAGCAGCCTCACCACATCCTTCCCAGCCAACTCAGCAGTGATGAGATCCGCTCTCAAGACAACTCCTCAGAAAGGCTTCAGGGCACTGGTCCAAAAGCTTGGCCTACAGGGACCTGCCTACTGAGCCCTGGTAGGACAGGAGGGGCCTGGCACCCCAGAGCCACCTCAGCCCCTCACCTTCCTCTCCAGATCAAGGGTAATTCACACAAACAATGAAGCTGTATGGGGACCATGAAGGGTCACTTTTACCACAGGAAGAGACTGGTAGTTACGACCACAGTCCCCCGGCTCTGCTGACCTCTCCTGCACTGACCTGGCTCCCCAGGTGGCAGGCCGTTCCACTGACTCCACTTACAGAGGTACAGCAGCACCCCAGCACCTCCTCTTGCTTAAGAACATGGGGAAGGATGTACTCACGGGGTCAATGCCAAAAGGGTAGGGGCCTCGAAAAACACCAGGGACGTTCGGGTCCAGCTGTAAAGTCCTGCTGTGCCTGATGGTGCTGTCACTGTAAGAGAGGGCAGAGCAAGGCCGCCATTTGCAGAGGAAGGGGCTCGGGAAACGTGTCCCCACCTGTCCCATCCCTGTTCCCCGGCCACCTACTTCCAAAGCTTCATCCCCTTCTGTTCCTCGGCAGAGTGGCTGGAACTGTACATGGCAGACACGTTCCACCGAGAGCCAAAGAGGTTCACAGACTTGGAGAAGCAGTCGTTGTAGATGAGGCCGGTGTACACGGAGAACAGCCCCATCAGCAGGAGGATGTAGCGGCCATTGAAGAACATCCCCAGGATCTGGGAGAAGACACGGTGACGGCAGAGACTCAGCTCTGGACAGTGCTCAGGGGCAGCTCATTCTGGTTCAGTCCAGCCACTCCTCTGGGGCTCCCAGAAAACCACATCAGCGAATGTCTTACCCAGGGGTGACAGGCACACTCCTCTGATAGAGCACTTTTACACTCTTACACATTGAGCAAGGCGTGGGCACACACCTATAATCCCAGAACTCAGGAGGTGGAGGCAGGGGGATCACAAGTTCAAGGCCAGTCTTCCATGTATAACAAGTTTGAGGCCAGCCAGACTACCCGAGACCGTCTTAATTACTCTCCATAGAAAAAACAACAGACAAAACACAGCTCTCTTCCAGTCAAACCATGCCATGGCTCCAACCCACCCACCACGCACAGGCTGGCAGGCATGCATTACCTCCTGTGACTGGCTGAGTCGGGGGTGATTCTCGTTTAACACCAGTAAGAGGGCAAACAGGAACATGACAAAGCCGTGCCCAAAGTCACCGAACATCACAGCAAACAGGAACGGGAAGGTGATGATGGTGAAGAGCGCTGTAGAGACAGAGGGGTGGCAAGTTCTCAGCAGGGCCTTCTGTTAGCGCGCACAGTCACAGACACACACACACACACCTCTCAGGACAGGACAGTGAGGTTATTTAATGCTCTACCACACTGACAAAGGGACAGCAGTCAGCGACCTGACTACATCCACTGCATCCCCTATCAAAACCACCAACAGGGCTGGGCTTGGTGTCACATGCCTATAATCCCAGCACCCAGGAGGCAGAGACAGGAAGATCACCAAGAGTTCAGGGCCAGCCTGGGCTACATCGTGATTGTTTCAGGCTAGTCAGGGATACAGGGTGAGACTCTGTCTCAGAAATCCAACAAAAGCCAAAGCTGGCTGAGACCAGCCTTGTCCAGATGCCCACCTGGGTTCACTTCTCTGTAGCTCCCGACACCATAGGCATCCACGATGTTCTGGAAGCCCTCGGTGAATTTGTTGGTGCGGATCAGAGTGGGCGGCGTTTCTTTCGTAGGGATTGTGTTCATGAACGAGGGGATTGTAGCTCCGCTCTCTCTCTTCCACACAGAAAAGAAAGAGGAAAATATGACTGTCCATGAGAACAGCTACAGATAAGCACACGACTCAGCTTGTGTGTTGGGGGGCGGGGGTGTCCCGGGCGTGCATGTTCACAGAAGGGAGTCGCCAAGCCAGACATCCAAGTGGAGCCCAGTGGCATGAGGACAGAACTTGGAGCTGGGGCCCTTGGAAGGAGAGCAGACAGAACTGGGGAGTGGGGATGAAACACTGGGTTGAGGAAGATGGAAGCAGAATCCAGCCCAGGGCATGGAAAACCAACACGTGAGCCAGGCCAGCAGTGCAGGCTGTGACGTCAGCATTTGGGAGGTTTCAGCAGGAGAATCTCAAATGAGAGCCCAGCCTAGCAACAAAGCAAGACCATATCTCAAACAGAAAAAAAAGAAAGGAAGGAAGGAAGGAGGGAGGGAGAGAGGGAGGGAGGGAGGGAGAAAGGCAGGGAGGGAGGAAGAAAGAAAAAGGAAGGAAGGAAGGAAGGAAGGAAGGAAGGAAGGAAGGAAGGAAGGAAGGAAGGAAGGAAGGAAGGGGAAAACCCTGATATCTAGGACTTCATCTCCTAAAAGTGGCCTCTGGTGAGATGGCTCAGTGGGTAGAGGTGCTTGCCTACAATCCTGATGACCTGAGTTCAATCCCCAGGACCCACACGGGAGAAGGAGAGAACCAATCCCTGTAAGTTGTCCTCTGACCTCCACAGACACTTTGACACCCACGTCCACACACAATGCGGAATAAAAGCAATCTAAAGTAGCCAGCAAAGAGGAAGTTAGACACACCGACAATGTCACCTAATTTACAAAAAAGAAAACGGGTAAGAAAAAAAATAAAACCCTATCATTGTGGCAGGATCTTCTCTGTAAGCTTTCCTCAACTCAGTGCAGTGTTCACTCGCCCAGAAATGCACACCACCGTCTACAATGAACACAGAGGAGAAAAGGCCACACCAGGGGAAAGAGCCCTCGGCATGCATGTTTACACGGAAGGTGAGCCGAGTGCCTCTTTGGCAGACAGGAAGGAACCCCGCCTCACTCAGCGAGAGCCGGGGCTGGGGAAGTCCTTCTGGAAGACCTGCCTGTGCTAAGTTTCAAAGGTCGCGGGCTGTTCTGCGCAGTGGTGTTTGTAACCAGAAAGCACCGGATGGACTGACAACCAGCTATAAACCAAGGTGTGTGCCTGACGAGAATCTGGTCATAAAAACAGATGTTTCGTTCAGCAGGAAGAACAACATGCAAGCTGCTGTCTAGAGGGAGCCGATGTCAGGGGGCCAGGCCACCCGCCATCCTTTACACTTTCCAGAGGAGCTACAGGCCGAACACAGACCTTCAGAAATGAGAGAGGGAGAGAGAGGAGTGTAACTTCAAAAGCAAGAGAAAAAGAAAGGCTGCCTATCCCTCCCTATCTGGCCACCTGTGATTAAGTGACAGAGATGAAGCAGGCCCCAGGGGGAGGGACCGGAAGAGACTGGCCAGCAGGAAGCACTTCCAGGCTATTTCTTCAAGTTTTTCTCTCGTGGTTTGCACCAGTGCGTTACTTACTCAGAAACGCAGCTTAGAATGTCCTCCCCACACCACGCCTGAGAGACCAGCTCTTTTATTTACTTACTTGTTTTTACAGTTTTTCTCTGTGCATTGTTGTATCTGTGAGAGGGTGTCATAACCCCTGGAACTGGAGTTACAGACAGCTGTGAGCTGCTGTGTGGGTGCTGGGAATTGAACTCGGGTCCTCAGAAAGGCTGTCAGTGTTCTTAACTGCTGAGCCATCTCTCTAGTCCCAGAGACCCGCTCTTCAAAGCCTGTCTGAAGGCAAGCCCCTTCCCAGCACTCGGAAACTGTTTTGTCTGAGACAGTGTCTCAGGCTGGCCTCAAACTCTCCATCCTCCTGCCACAGCCTCCCTAGACCTGAGATCACAGGTCTGCAGTGAAACCACATCCAGCTGCCGACACACCACGTCCTCGAGTGGTCTGGGTCGAGGGTCCTAGGGGGGCAGGGAGCCTTACCGAGCCTTCCTCCAGGGCTCTGCGCAAGCCCGGCAGGTCCACCTCGGGGCACCAGACCTCAGCTATGAGACACTTGTTGGTGACGTCGAAGCTGCACATGTTGAGCATGTGGTAGATGGCCTTCACCTTCCGCACCTGCACCACGCGGCTGCACACGGACTCGGCGGCTTTGCACAGCACCTGCCTCAGGTAGTCCTCCGTCTTGTGCAGCACCTGCGGGGCAAGCACAGGAGTTCTGGTCCACCGGCTGCCCTCCTGCGGGGACTCCCCAGAGGAGCACCGCTCCGGGCACCTGCTCCCGGGGCAGGAATGTCAGAGACTGCCAGCTCTGCAAGGGGACACACCAGGTGACTCCTAGACATCCTGTCCCTGGCAGAAGGGTGACCTGACTGACCCGAACAGCCCTTTGCTTGCCTACACCCAGGCATGGCTCAGCCAATACCCCTGGAAGCTACCAACTCCCATTTCCAGCCCTTCGGTCTCCATGTGTGAAAATCTGATCCCGTCACTGCTATGGAGACTCCTCAACGCCATCAAGAAAAACTCAAGTCCAAACAGCCAGTGGGATGACGCCCAGCACTAGAGCTTGTCTCCATGGTCAGAGGACAATTCAGCATACCAAAGAGACACAAAGGCCTTTTCTAAGACCCTTCACTACTCCCTGGGTTTGAGCTGCAAAATGGAGCACGCCCGTGTCAGGAACGCATGGTGACCACCCACCAGCAGCTTTGACGGAGAAAGCAGACGGCCTCTCCCGCCCCAGCCCCGGCTTACTCACAGTGTAGAGGTCCTGGATCCGAGTATTGAGCCCCTCCTGAATCTCCCTGCGCTCCTCAGCCGTGTTGGGATACGGGTAGACGTGGCAGTGGTAACTAGAGGACATAATTCAACAGTCCGCTGTCTGGTGGGTCGAGAAGGGCGGCTTCTAAGAGCAGCACCAGGCTCTGGTCACACCAGGCACACCGCCTCCAGCACCAGGCAGGGCAGTCCTCGATGATGAAGCCATGGCCGCTACGGGAGGCCTTGCATGCAGGCTGCTACAGTAAATAGGCCTCCAAATGCTCAGGCCACACCCACCCTGCCTTCCTGAACTGCACCAATATCCTGAGGTTAAGAACCATCAAGCAAGCCAGGCATGGTGGCGCACGCCTTTAATCCCAGCTCTCAGGAGGCAGAGGCAGGCGGATCTCTGTGAGTTCTAGGCCAGCCTGGGCTACAGAGCAAGATCCAGGACAACCAGAGCTACACAGAGAAACCCTGTCTCCTGTCTTGGAAACAAAACCCAAAACACCCAACAGGTAGAAAGCGCACCTTAAAAGACACGCCAGGATGGTAGTGCAGTCTGTAATCCGGCATTCAGGGGGCAGAGGCAGGAGGATCATAAGTTGGAGCTGGCTACTGTTTCAGGGCTGACACTGTTAGGCTGAGGCCCGCTCTGTCCTGCAGGCACCACGGCCTCAGACATGCAGACGAGGCCCGAAGCACGCTGCACCACTGCGGTCGCCCTCCTCTGCCTGCTGAGCTGCCCCTCTCTCTGCAGGAACCACCGGCCCCCCTCTCCCCAGAGGAGCCTGGTAAAGGTAACACAGGGGCTCCCCTGGGCTGGCGCGGTTTTCCTGGTCACACTAAAACACGTCCACTGCAAGGGCACAAGCTGGGGCTGGAGAGAGGCTCAGACATGACGAGCACTGACTGTTCTTACAGAGGGCCTGTTCAGTTCCCAGGACCCACATGGCGGCTCACAACCGTCTGTGACTCCACCTCCAGGGGATCCATCACCAGGTGATTCCAGACTGTGGGGAGCGCACAGTTTAACTAACCAGCGTACCCGACAAGTCCTAAATGCATTCAATGAACAGACTCAGAGGCCTGGTGCAGCTCAGTGGGAGACAGCCTGCTCAGCATCTCAGTACTGGGAAAAGGGGAGAAATCAACTTTTCTCACCAATCACATATCTTCTTAACCTTGTGGCCAATCTGCTCTCCCCAGAAGGAAATCAGGAACACGTTCCACTTGATGACTTCGCCCTGCAGAGACAAACACAGGGAATGGTGAGTTCTGTGCCGACCTTCCACCTGGCAGCGCTCACTCTCCCAGACCAAGCTCACTGCCTGGGCCGTCAGGTGCGGTGCTCTTACAGCAGCAGATCCGTGACTGCAGCTCACCAACACCCCCAAGCTCGCACACATGCCAGGTCACGGCATCTGCAGAGCCACAGGCCCCAGTAAGCGGTGAACGCTAAGGCAAAGGTCTGCCTCCTCCAGGTCAGCCTTCACACTGTAACCTCGTGCCTTCCTCCGTTACTGTTTACGATGGCCACCAAGGAACACAGCTATCTAGAACCCAGTCAAGCAGCCTTCTGGAAATCTGGAAAGCCTCGCTCACCACCAGTTAGAGTGTGGTTCCCAAGAGTCAACAATGCCCGGTAAATGAGCATTCCAGAGAGACACAAAGTAGAGCCAGACGTGGCTCACTGATGAAGAGTGACAGAGACCCTGGAGGAGCAAGCCCAGGCTACCCCCGGAACAGAGACACCCATAATACTTGCTATTTGGGTGTCTACAGTGACTTCAAACAGCACAATTCTGTGACTAATGAAAACCAATCATCATTACAACGTTAACCAAACAGACTTAAGATGTGGCCATCTTAGGCAGGCAGGAAAGAAGGTCCAGGGGAGAGGACTGTCAAGTGTAGAGACATGGAGGGGAAGGAGAGCCGCGTGGGCCCAGGGAAAGACCGGCGGCGGCGGCGGCGCAAAAGGAAAATCACACAGAAGCACGCTGGAGACGGGGAGCCGCCGAACACGGACAGACAGAGCGCCAGGAGAACAGAGGAGCTGGGGACGGACAAGGCTCAAGCCACCACAGGGCTCGGGGCTTTCTGCTGTGTAAACAGGAAGCCACTGGAAGATTCTAGAAGAGTGAGAAGCCCTGGCAGGGCTAGCTGGATGCTGGGAGGGACCAGGGCAAGGTGGGGTGGGTATGAGAGTAGGGGATGCCGCAACCTAGAAGCAAGCAAAGTGCAGCCAAGATCCCAACCGGAAGGGGCTGGGCGAGGGGCGAGCAGGAACCGGACTGTTCCCTGTTCTGAGTCCAGCCTCTGGGTCTGGGGAGAGAGGGGAGTTGGGGACAAGGTGGGTGTCCTGAGGCTTCTGGCTTGAACCTCAGACACGGAGCTGCTGCTTTCTGAGATGGAGTCTCAAAGCCCAGACTCAGGAGAACTGTAGGGTTAGCGTGTACACGGGCTAGGCCAGGGTTCTGGAAAAGCCATACTCCAGCTCCCGCCGAGGACAGGCACTCACCGTCTCGGGGTCTTCCAGGGACTCGTCCAGCTCTGCATAGGTCACGATGGTGTACCCTTTGCAGGCCCGCCACAGCATTCTCTCAAATGCTTCGACTTTGCCTTGCTGGATCAGGCCAGACACGAATCTGTGGGACAGTGAAGAGCTGGCATTAGAGGACTGAGATCTCCGGACCCCGCAAACTACGAGGCTGGTTTAAGAACCGTCAAGTGGCAAGATGCTCATGTGCTAGACAACGTATTGGGGAAGCTGCCTTTTCCACGGACAGCTGAGGCTCGAGTGAGGGGAAAGTCTTGGAATTTCAAGACCAAACCAGAGAGCCAGCTGCTCTGCTCCTTATCCTGACTGTGACCCTGGAAAAGCCAGCGTGGAAGATGACGGTAAGCACCAGGCTCTGGCAAGGTGAGGAGACAGGGCAGAACCCACCACGGCCAGAGTTCCTGCCCAAGGGAACAGATCCTGCCCTTAAGAGAGTGGGAGCTGGAGGTGAAGGAGCCTTCGCAGACACATGCTGACATTGGCTGCGGCTCTGGACACAGGAGAAGTCTGCCCTGAGAGCACACAGACACAGCGCAGAATGCAGCCAGGAATGTGGCACAAGTTAATTCCAGAAACTAAATTAAAAAAAATTTAAAACACCAATAAAAACTTTGTTCTATGATTTAAAAATGAGCCTGGGCTGACAACACTCCCAGCTACCTGTGAATGTGACAAGTCTCTCTAAAGGAACATAACTTCACACCAGACTTCACGGGATGCCCAAGTAAGGAACTCAGGGATATGAGATGATTTTTTAAAAGCCATAGCTGGAGATGTAATTCAGTGACAGAGCACTTGCCTAGAAAGTGCCAGGCTCTGGGTCTCATCTCCAGAACCACAAAAAATAAAAAGAGGGCTGGCAAGATTGCTTAATGAACGAGGATGCGTATAGCCACGCCCGACCTTCCATAGTAGAAAGAGATCCAACTCTGGAAAGTCGCCCTCTGGTCTCCCTATGCGAACCATGGCAAGAATGCACCAACCCCAAACACATACACAAGATAAATAGTAAAAAAGAAAGAAAAAAGAGCAGGAGATAGATCAGTAGTTAAGAGCACTGGCTGTTCTTTCAGAGGACCTGGGTTTAAGTCCCAGTACCCTCAAGGTGGCTCACAATGGGCTATAACTTCAGTTCCAGGGGATCTGATGGCCTCTTCTGGCCTCTGTGAGCCTCAGGCACATCCATGGTATCCAGACACACAAACAAGCAAAAACAATCATACACATAAACATTTTTTTTAATTAAAATAAAGAAAAGAAAATCATAAATTTAAAAAAATTAAGCAAAATTTTAGAAAAGAAAGTAATGAATTTAAAAAGAATTAAGTAAAATTTGCTGGGTGATGGTGGTGCACGCCTTTAATCCTAGCACTCGGGAGGCAGAGGCAGGAGGATTGTGAGTTCCAATACAGCCAGGACTGTTTCACAGAGAAACCCTGTCTCAAAGAAACAAACAAACAAAACAAAACAGAACAAAAAACAAAACAAAACAGGGGTTGGGGATTTAGCTCAATGGTAGAGTGCTTGCCTAGCAAGCGCAAGGCCTGGGTTCAGTCCTCAGCTCCAACAAAAAAGAATTAAGTAAACTTTAAAACAAAGGAAGCCGCAGACTCCCTGAGGAAATGACCCTCACTGGGTCAGGAGAGCAGAAAGAACAGACGACAGTGCCCGGCACACCTGCCATCCCTGCACCAGGGAGGCTGAAGCAAAAGGTCACAAGTTCAAGGTCATCCTCAGCTACATAGCGAGTCTGAGGCCAGCCTGGGCTACAAGACACACTGTCTAAAGAAGAGGAAGAGGAAGAGGATGAGGAAGAAACAAGAAAGAAAAAAGGAACGGTGGCAGAAACAGCCCCGGGAACATAATTTACAAACAGACCCGGGTTTAACCCCAGAGCCCACGTGACGAGAGAACTGACTCCTGTAAGCTGACCTCTGACTTCTGGCACATGAGTAAATAAATGTAGAAAATACTAACAAACAAACACAACCCATCAACCCCGAAGAACCCTGTGTTTCCTCCTCCACAGGACCTGGTGTTTCAGTGACCAGTTCTGTCGGGCTCACAGGAGTCAGCCCTGGGGCACACAGACATTGCTTCTTTCCAACTCAATATACCAACAGAAGAAATCCCCCGGCATTCAGCTACGTCAATACTGTGGGATTAAGTCCAATGTACAGGAGCCCAGTGTTCCCGGACAGACGCTCACTCTGGGCCAATCCCAGGCTGTAAATGGCCCATTCACCCGCACTATGGCCCATGTCTCCTATTCTACGGGAAGGGCTTGGTGCTCACTGTCACCTACCCCAGCTTGGCGCCCAGCCTCTGCATGCAGCTGTAGTCCAACAGAGAATCGTTCTCTAAGGCGGGGAACTCCTCATAAGTGGGTTCAAACTGGAAAGAGACAGAAGCAGGCATGCTGTTAACAGACTCCACCCTCACAAGCTTGCAGACAAGTCCACAGAGGCACAACCTGAGCACAGGTACGAATAACACCTGAGACAGGAAACGGCCCCATAAGGAAAGACACACTGCCAAGCTTGTCAGGTGAGCTGCTGGGTGACATCCACACGTGACAGTGGCTCTAAGTGAGGCTGTCTCAGCTCAAGAGACAGCAACCGTCTCTCGGGTCAGACTCAGGAGGGATGGGCTCCATCCCATGCACAGCCCAGCGTGGTGCAGGCTGAGCAGCTGTAGCTGAGATGCTCTGAGCATGCGGTGTCGCTCGGGGTACCCACACCAACACCCCAGCCCACTAAGCCTCCAGCACCCTTGTGGACCAGTCTTCACACAGGAGGAGGTCTTCCTGCCTCCTCTGCTCACAGCCATTTGGAAGAACAAAGATTTTTTTTTTCTTTCTCTCATGACCAAAGCATAAAACACTTTGCTTAGGCTGGAAAGATGGCTCAGTGGTTAAGAGCACTTGTTACTCTTCCAGAATTCCTGGATTCAATTCCCAGCACCCACATCTCTGTTCAAAACTGTCTGTAACTCCAGTTCCAAGGTATTGGGCCTCCAACTGCACACTTGGTGTGCAGGCAAAACACCCACATACATAAGATAATAAAATAAACTAGAGGCCGGAAAGACGGCTTAGGGTTAAGAGCCCTGACTGCTCCCCCAGGGGACCTGGGCTGGATTCCCAGCACCCACACGGCGGCTCACAACCCTCTCCAACTCACACATGAGGTGTACAGATCTATATGCGGACAACATCAATACACATAAGTAAATGTAAAACATTTTTAAACAGTTTTTTTAAAGGTTAAAAAAAAACAAAAAAACTTCTTCTCAACTGAAAACGAAAGCATCTCATGGTAGAAGGTAGTGTCTCTGCTAAAACCACCAACACAGGAAGAAGTACACAACCCAGCCTAAAATAAAGCAGAGGCTGGTGTCGCACTTGCAACAAACGAAACAGAAACACATCTGTGGCAAACATGGCAGCTCCTGCCTGTGATGCCAGAGCTCAGAAGGCCGAGGTGGGGAATCGCTCCAGTGTCAAGGCCGCACTAATAATGAAACCTGGTCTCAAAAACAAAATAGTAAATTTCGGCAGGGCCGGGGAGAGGGCTCGGTGGGCAGGGTGCTTGCCAGTGTGACTAGGCCGGCTTTAATCCGGACTGCGGCAGGGGAGGCACAAGGATCAAGGTTCAAGTCAGGCTGCACAGGGCGACTGTCTCACAACTCCAACTCCAGGCAGAGGCAGGGGACTGTCACGGGGGCTTCCTCCTGCCGGCACGTACCTCCACATTCCGTTTAAGGAAGGTCTTGGTGATCCTCAGCATGTGGGTGTACTCCACCAGCTCCAGCAGGTTCTTGCGCAGCTTCTCCTTGTTCTTGGTGACTTCTCTCAGCTCCACCTCCAGTTTCTGCAGCTGTTCCTACGACGACACAGCTGCGGCTGAGAGCAGGCTGAGTCAGGGTGCAGCCCGACACCCCACCACCACCCCACAGTCACCGAGGCTACAAAAGCCACAGTGCCCGGCAGCGGCGGCGGCAAAGAGCCAGATGCAAATGTGCCGGACAAGGTATGAGGCAAGCCTGCAAGGTCCACCACCTATTTTAGTTCAGGGTGCGACCACACCACCTGCCATCAACCCCTGAGGCTGCAGCGCCCCCAGATGCCCCTCCCCCAGCCCCGCTGCTGGCAGCTTTCCTTCAGCTGCTTGTCCACCCACACATCCAATCTCCTTTTCTTTGTGTGCAACGGAATCAACACAAGAGCATCTTTCCTGAATGCTCTCCTGCCGCCAGCTTAGAAGTCTCTGCTGGTCCCACCAGACAACTAAGGATGTGAGGTTCGGTGGTTATAACCAGGTTAGCCTGCTCGCTTACATATTCAAACCACGGACACAGACTTTGTAAAACAAACCACTGAGCTGGGTGGCGGCGGCGCACGCCTGTAATCCCAGCACTCGGGAGGCAGAGCCAGGCAGATTTCTGTGAGTTCGAGGCCAGCCTGAGCCTGGTCTAGAGAGTGAGATCCAGGACAGGCACCAAAACCACACAGAGAAACCCTGTCTAGGAAAAAACAACAACACCAACAACAAAAACACAAAACAAAGTACCGAGCCAAGGCCAACTCATTGCAAACAATCCCCCCTGCTCCTCCTCTGCGCTCTGCGTCATCCAAACCTTCAGCAGCACCGCTGTCCATAGCACGCCCTGACCGGGCGCTGTCCACAGCTCCATCCTAACCAGACCCTCAGCCTGCCAGAGGACTGCCAGTGTTGCTGAGAGGGTGCCATGTGTGGTGTGGCTTCTTCCTCCCAGACAGACAGAGCAGCAGGCCACAGGAGGGCCAGCAAAGCCATGGCCAGTATTTCAAGAGTGAGGAAGAGTCAGCATAGTTCTTCTGAGTGCCAAACCCTAACAAGAAAAGTCCAGAAGGGCAGGTGTGCTAGTGCAGGGCTTTAATCCAGGCACTCAGAACCAGAGGCAAACAGATAGATCAGATAGATAGATAGATAGATAGATAGATAGATAGATAGATAGATAGATAATAAATAAATAAATAAATAAATAAATAAATAAATAAATAAATAAAT